GCAGCGGCGGCCACAGCAGCGAGGCCCTTCCCTTCGGCTCAGTCTGAACAGAGGTCAACAAACTGTCCCCAGAACTTACTGACAGGAGCTTTAAAGTATTTGCAAATGTGCACGGCCGGCATGTGCAGAGCAAAGGCTGCCCAGGGGCACTGTGTCAGGCTCTGGCGCACCGTGGACAATGGACCGCCTTCAGCCACCAGGTAACCCAGGATCTAAGGCAGGAATGGGGTGAGGAAGCAAGTCAAGCTGAGCAACGCAGGCAAAAATTCATCTTGCCTTCGTGGGCGCTCGCAATGATGCCCTTTTTGTGTACCATGGCTGACAAAAACATCCCAGACAGAGAAGCAGCAGGCCAAAAAAAGTGCCCTTCAGGTGCTGAAGTAGCTCAGTTGGGAGAGCGTTAGAGTGAAGAACTAGAGGGCCCTGGTTCACTCCGAGATTTTGGCATGCTCTTTGGTCCCTTTGTGTGCAGTGGTGGGCTGTTTTCTGGAAGCGCAGCAGTGCCTTTACCCGCCACAAGTCCCTCCTTTCGGGTTCCCAAGCAAGAGAAGATAGCATGGAGTTGTGCACCAAGTTGGCCCCCCTGACCTTTCTTTCTTCTCTTGGTCTTTCTCAGCAAGGGGAAGAAAAAGAAGCTCTCCTTCAAGCTGGAGTCAGAAGGGCGATGTAAGGTTGACTTCCTGAGCGCCGGCTCTAGTCCTTTGCTCTACCAGCTGACCTATCAAAGGGCTGCCACAACTTTCTCCAGGTTAGCCCATTGGTATGTTCAGAATGGAGAGAGGTAACTAGTGGTGTTCCCCAATGGTCAGTCCTAGGACCACTCCTATTCAATTTATTCATAAATGATCTGGAGAAAGGGGTAAACAGTGAGCTGGCAAAGTTTGCGGACAATACTAAACTGCTTGAGATAGTTAAGACCAATGCAGACTGTGAAGAACTTCAAAGAGATCTCACAAAAGTGTCCAAGTGATTGGGCAACAAAATGGCAAATTAAATTTAATGTGGATAAATGTAAAGTAATGCACATTGGAAAAAATAACCCCAACTATACATACAATATGATGGGGGCTAATTTAGCTACAACTAATCAGGAAAGAGATCTTGGAGTCATCGTGGATAGTTCTCTGAAGACGACCACGCAGTGTGCAGCGCCAGTCAAAAAAGCAAACAGGATGTTAGGAATAATTAAAAAAAGGATAGAGAATAAGATGGAGCATATCTTATTGCACTTATATAAATCCATCTTGAATACTACATACAGATGTGGTGTCCTCATTTCAAAAAAGATATACTGGCATTAGAAAAGGTTCAGAGAAGGGCAACTAAAATGATTAGGGTTTGCAACGGGTCCCATATAAGGAAAGATTAAAGAGACGAGGAATTTCCAGCTTGGAAAAGAGGAGACTAAGGGGGGATGTGATGAAGGTATATAAAATAATGAGTGATGTGGAGAAAGTGAACAAGGAAAAGTTATTTACTTGTTCCCATAATATAAGAACCAGGGGCCACCAAATGAAATTAATGGGCAGCAGGTTTAAAACAAATAAAAGGAGGTTCTTCTTCACACAGCACACAGTCAACATGTTGAACTCCTTGCCTGAGGAGGTTATGAAGGCTAGGGCTATAACAGGGTTTAAAAGAGAACTAGATAAGACTCATAGACT